TAGAAGAGTTTAACTGCTCATGACAAGTGTTGACCATTGTGGAAACAGGTATGATTTAAATGTATGGAAACTTTCTTATAATAAAGTTAAAAACCTAGAGCAACTTAATCACATGTGGGCGAAACTCAACTGAACCCTGACGTCACGTTTGTCCTTTGGATCCCCATTTCCTTTTGAGTTGACTGCATTGACAGCCAGCAGAGTTTTGTAAAGTTAAATGTAAGTGAATACCCAACCATTAACCTAAAGGACTTCCGACATTCAATAATGAGACTGAATTAGGTAATTTGCTATCAATTTCTCTTGTTTCAACAATGGTGCCCAAGGTGTGTCAAGGTGTTATTAATTATCAAATTATAGTAACAATAAAAAAAAAATAATAATCATATTATTTAATATAAATATTGATGCCATCTAAAACCTAATCCCCAACAGCAGCAGTTTGCCTAAACACTTTTCTCAGGTGACGGCAGCCTGTACCAGACCTTACACCGGGCCTTCTTCTCTTGTGCTTCATTTCTTTAGAAGGCTGCCAACAGCAACGAATTGATGAAAGGGTGTGGCTCTCAAACAAGCAGAGAAGCCAACAAATGGTAAGGCAAAAGTTAGCTATTCTGTGATCAAGCGTTGATGTCACCTGAGCTCTTAAATCCCTAAATTACCATTTAGTTATAGCACTTGGACCCAAAATCTACATCCGTTCATTCCCTTTTCATTTGAGTCAAATTCCTTTCACAATAGCCAAACTAGAATTTAACTGAATGCAGTTTTAACAGTTTCAACTTCCGTTTGTTACATTTGTGTTGATGCCATAAAATCACTGTTTGTTTGCTACGGTATGTGTGTACTGTTTTATAACTGAGGTCTCTTTCAAGAAAATTCCCCCCCAGATTAGACGACAGATTGATTCATTATTACATTTTTTTTCAATTGCTAACCTGCGTCGGTCAAAACTGAAGTCACATTGTCAAAACTCTTCACACAGTCAGTAAAACAGAAGTGGATGTGGACCAAACTGTGAATCATTTTTCTTTACTTTCACACAAAATGCATTCAATTAGGGCTGCGCAATAAAACAATTATAATAATTATTGCAATACAATTTTCCTCAATAACAATATAATAAATGTTCAATATATCGTCAATAAATATTTGGTTTAATTCATTTGAATCACAAACAAATTAGCACTTAAATTTAAAAGTTTACGAACATTTTATGTTAATGTGCGCAGAGAAATGTGTGTAGTTTATTGAATGTGGTTTTACTGTAAAACTGCAAGCTGAGTGTGAAGCAAGAAATGTGCTTGTATTTTAGCAGAATTGGTTCAAGGGTTTGGTATAACAGGCTGTGGTCATACCAGTTTAACTGAGTAAACGACTGAGAAAGACTGTATTGCAGCACTGAAATTTCAGGAAAATTACTGAATGTATTTCTGATTCATTCTTGTTACATATACTATAGTGCAGTCAAAAAAGTGAAAATATGTTATTCTCACATTTTTCTCTCAGTCGCTCTGATACATTTCTAGAATCATCCTTAACATTGTAAAACTATTTGTATTGGTAAACTATGGCAAAGGTTTGGATGATAATGATTGAAAATGCACAAGCCTACACTTTTTCTGTATGGCTTAAATCAATTTCAACAGTACAGAGTTATATATTGCAAGAGATTGGACAGGATTCACAGTTACGCTTTTACTGTATGCACTCTAATTTAACTAGCAGAATTTCAATTCTGATCTGAGAAATGTACCAAAGTGACTTGAGAATAAATGTATTCTATGATGAAACACTGATTTATATGAAAAAATCAGTCATATTTCAAAGATAAAAGTTCATTAAATTTACGTAATGCTTCCTGTTGTTAGTGTTTTATAGGTCAGTGTGTTATGAGTGACACTGCATGCTTTCTGAGTGAGGATTGTTGCCATTGTTTTGGTTGAACAAGTTTATTTTGAGACTTGTATGAAGTGTTTTGGTGCTTTGAGCTACTTTTGGAGGTGAGATTAACTGTTTGGCCAAGGTGCATGTTGGTAATGCGGACTGTGTTTTGAAAAAGTGGCTACAGTTTTGACCACTGATTATTTTATTTGTTTATTTATTTGAAAGGGGACAGTGTACATTAATCAACATTAAAACAGTGTAAATGTACCCAAGTTAGCTAAAAAGTGCTAATTTTCATCGGTAGTCCCCCAGCCAGGTGTAAAAAGGCAGCCTTAAAAATAATCACAGGTATAAAATCACAAGATAAAATGACATACAAAACATTATGGTTAAGAAACACAATTCATGTAAAATAATTATATACCATTTAAATGCACACAGAAAACATTAGTGCCCACAAGTTTGGTTCTGTACAAGACATTTTTTAGCATTCTTTTTGAATGAAAAGAATTACAAAGACTCTCTGATGGTTTCCAGGACTGTGTTCCATTGCTGAGCTGCTCTTACGGAGAAGACATCCTGACCAAAAGCTGTTTTTCTCCAGGGGATAATGAAGTCTTCCCTCACTGCCCCTCTGGTTACCCTGACCTCACTGGATCTGAAATGTATTAAAGTCACATAGTGGAGGAGGTGCTAAACCATGTCTGATTTTATAAATTAGACAGATGTTTTTGAATTTAATTTGATTGTCACAGGCAAGTAACTGATAGTTACTTAGTAACTGATATGTTTCTCTAATGGTTTTATTGTTGTAGAGTGAGTATTGGACCAGCTTATTAAACAATATGCTATGTGGGATAAAATCATGGAAAAGAAATATGATTTAGCAGCTTCAGTTGAAAGAAAATCTCTGATGAATCTGAAGTTTGCTAGATTGAACTTCTTATTGCTAACTTTTTTGTGAGTTTTGAAATTGAGGTTTGAGTCTATGTGTAATCCTAAATATTTATATTCTGTGACGACCTGTAATCTTTCTCCAGATATAAAAATGTCGGGTTTTTGTTGCTGTCTCTGTAGAATGATTAGCCCTAAATCCAAACTGCAATGAGTGCAAAGGAAAAGAACTGCAATTTAGATGACCAGTTTTTCAAAAACTTTAGATACTGTTGGCAAAATGCTAATAGGTGATGTAAGAAGGGAGTTACCTCCTTTAAATATGGGAATGACACTAGCAAGTTCATGGCTCAGGAAATTTCCCTTGATCTAGTGACAAATTAATGATATGTGTTAGTGGACCCATAATTGACTGACCTATTTGTTTTAGCATGAGTGTGTCCATCCCTCACACGTCTTTTGCACTTGAAGACTTAAGCTGTGCAATTGCCTTTTCCACATCGGATATGGATACAGATTTTAGATATAGTGGGGGCTCAATTACCAAATCTCAACTAATGACAGGTAGGTTGTTAAATTTCACAGGGAAACTTTTGGCTATGGTCTCAAAAGAATCAACAAAATACTCGTTTAGTGTCTGTGCCTCAGCAGACGGATCCTGCAAAAGCATGCCATTGTTCTTTAGCTGTATTGACTTATTACTGGAAGAAGTTTTACCTGTTAGTTTATTGATCTGTTCCAAAATAGCTTTTGAGTTTCCATGACAGTTTTTAATAATTGTGATAAAAAAGTCTGCCTTTGCTTTTCATAGTTGTCACTTCATTCCGTAACAAAGCAGATTTTTGTCTGTCACAAGATAATTTTGACTTGTTGGCTTTTTTAAGGGCATTGTCTCTGTCTTTCATTAATTGTTGGATATCATCACTGAGCCAGGGAAAGAACACTTTCTGTTTTTGTGTTTAATTGTCACTGCAAATTCATTAATTTTTGTTTGTAAGCATTCAGTGAATTTCTGACTAATTATTTCCAATTCATTGTCCAATAGCAGAGCGTCCCAGTTCATGTTTCTTATTGCTGTGTGAAATTGTTCCTGTTTGCTCCTTGGAATGCCAATGAACTCCATTTTTCCGGAATAGGCTAAAATCGCTTTCTGGTTAATTTTCTTGTTATCAGCACCATGTTATGATCTGAGAGACCAGTTATCATATTGTAAGATTTTGTGATCCGTTCAGGATGATTGGTGAAGATTAGGTCAATTTGGGTGCTACAATTGTTTGTGATCAGTGTCCTTTAACTTTAACCATCTGGACAAGATTAAATCCATCCATAATTTGCTACAGTTTTTTCCTTGTACTGTTATTGTCCCAGTGTATTATAAAATCGCCCATCACTATAACCTCCTTTTTAAAATCACACTTTAACATTTCCTTGAACTTATTATAAAAGTCTATGTTTGCAAATGGTGTTCGATATAAGACTATTAATGTCAAAGACATCTGAGGTGCAAGAGATAGAACACGTTCTAAATCAACTGGGGTTTTCCACTGGATTTTACTGCACTGTATGTTATCTCTCACATAGATCATTACTCCTCCCCCTTTGGTGTCAGCTCTATCTCTCCTGTAGGCGACGTGCCCCGGAACTAAAAGCGCAACAGTCTGGGAATTTTTATGCAGCCAAGTTTCGAATAGGCAGAAATAATCCAGGTTTGATTCAGTCAACATGTGGATAATTTGTAATTAAGATTTCAGATTTCCAGCACATCAGCCTGATGGATGAAGTCAGACAGGAAACTTTAGGATTATAAAAACAATCATAGCAACGAGTCAATGAATCACAGTTCCACACCAGTAATGATTTGTCAATTTATTTTTAATAATAAGTTGAGTAAATACTGTATATAAATGTCTGTAGACATAATTGCAGTAGTGTATCATATTTTATGTTAATATACAGGAAAGTACACACTGCTGGAGAGAAGAGAAAATGCACTTAAAAATAAAATATTAAGGAGAACAGAGGTGTGTCCTGAATTACTCTGCAGATCTACTTGGAAATAGTCGGCCATCGTCAGGCTTTTACCCACAGCCTACTTCTGGTGAGTCAAACAACGTACAGCGTGAAAAAAATCTTTCCAGGACAAAAGTAAAAAGGTCGCAGAACTCCGCCTCTTCCTGCTTACTCAAACTACAAGAAGTAGCAGCAGAGAAAAAGAAGTAGAGCCCACACATCAGCATCCTTTATTAACAAAGTGTAAAATCTTTTTAGGGACATTGTGATAGTTTTTTTGAATTCTGTAGCTTCCATGCAGCTTTTCTAATTAGATAATTCACATAAAAATGCTTGGATGAAATGTGGCTTTGTGCTTCTTTGCGTTTCTGTTCCATATTAACTTTTGAAAGAAAGATCAAGCATCCTTCGACATTAATGAGCTGTCTTGAACCACTTACTTACTTACCTTCAGAACAAGCTATTTAAAATATATCTGTGTGCAGCACAATGAGAGCTGAAATGCACTAATGATGATAAAATTAGCTTAAAATGAAAAGAAAAAGACAATTAAACACAGGTATTTATGTCAACTGATGGTACTGCTACGAAAAAAGGGGAGAACAAAGTACACAGTCTGACTGCAAATCCACAAAATGATTTGTGATTGAACAATAAACTATAATAACAACAATGATAATATTCATGAGTGGGTGGGCCATATTTAGTAGGAAGCTTTATATTAAATTGTTATGTGACTATCATAATGGTGCTTCACAATAACAACGTATGAAACAATCATTTTGTGATCAAACTGAACTGAACTTGAAGTGAATCATGTGGTGCAGATTACAGACACAGGAGTACGTAGTTGTGTTCATAGAAAGTCCCAAAGCCTGGATAAACTGGCTCAGAGAATTTGTTGCGGAAGGTGTGGAGGTGACTCAGTGTGTCACCTGAGACATTATAGAAGGACAGACTGCCAGCAGGCCAGTCCAGATACACTCCCAGTCGGCTGCAGCCGGTAGCATGAACAGAAATATTTTGGGACTGACTATTATGCCATGCACAGAGAGTATCACTTGGTGGGTACCCTGTGTGGTCTAAACTCCAGGACATAATATTGCGTCCAAGTCCACACTGGCCATAATTTCCTTTCCTAAACAGGCCTTTGTAGGTGACACCAACAGCAACCCCTTCCTTATAGCCAGCACTCCACTCCACCTCCCAGTAGAAGCGCCCGGTCAGCCCCTCTCTGCACAGAACCTGACACACATAAGTATCAAATCTCTGCGGGAGGTCAGGATACGAGTGCCATGCTCCATAAGTTGCCTTCTTGTTCCCCTCAGACAGAGTGAGGTAGTTGTTCGCTGTGTCTGGGTCCAGAGTGAGATCACAGGAATCTGATGGAGAGAACGAGACGTCATCATCGTTACAAGCATCCCTCCCTAGTTCACAAGCTACATTTGTGGATTATTATGAACATATATTAAAGGTTATACTCATATTTTGTAACATTCACTCACATGCTCATATGTTCTTAATATAAACAGTGGTGCAAAGACATATATATGCCTTTAATTTGGGAGACCTGGGTTCAATTCTCACTGCGACACGCCCACCAATGTATACCTGAGCAAGACTCTTAGTAGTTGCTCCAGAGGTGTGCAGCAATTAGCAATTGTATGTCACTGTGCTAAATGAATGCATGTACAGAGGTGTGAAAAAGGGTTTGCCCCCTTCCTGATTTCTTATTTTGTTGCATGTTTGTCACACTGAAATGTTTCAGACAAATTGAAAACAAATTGACGTACATGGCTCTGTGACTTTTGGGAAAATACTGTGGACTGATGAGACAAAAGTTTAACTTTTTGGAATGTGTGTCCCATTACATCTGGCGTAAAAGTAACAGCATTTAAGAAAAGGAAGATAATACCAACAGTAAAAACATGGTGGTGGTAGTGTCATGGTCTCGGGCTGTTTTGCTGCTTCAGGACCTGGAAGACTTGGTGTAAATGGAACCATGAGTCTACCAAAAAATCCTGAAGGAGAAAGTCCAGCCATCTGTTCATGACCTCAAGCTGAAGTGTACTTGGGTTCTGCAGCAGGACAATGATCCAAAACACACCACGAAACCCACCTCTGAATGACTTTAGAAAAACAAAATGAAGACTTTGGAGAAGTCCTGACCTGAATCCAATTGAGATGTTGTGGCATGACCTTAAAAAAGCTGGATAAGGCTTGAAAACCCTCAAATGTGGCTGAAATACAATAATTCTGCAAAAATGAGTGGGCTAAAATTCCTCCACAGCGCTGTAAAACACTCATTGCCACTTATCGTAAACACTTGATTGCAGAAGTTGCTGCTATGGGTGGCCCATCCAGTTATTAGGTTGTGGGGAGAATCACTTTTTCAGAGCCATGTAGGTTTGGATTTTTTTTCTCCCATAACAATAAAAACATTTAAAAGCTATGTTTTGTGTTTAATTGTGTTATCTTTGTCTAATATTCCGATATGTTTGGTCTGAAGCATTTCAGTGTGACAAACATGCATTAACTCAAGAACTGTACTTCAGTTTAATGTTGAGATACTACTGAGTATTTTATACTTCTGCTGCACTACAATTCAGATGGAAATATTGTACTTTTTACTACATTATTTGACAGATTTAGATTCCACATAAACACATCAGATAAGCTTGTTATACAACACATTGTTCAATATTAAACCAGCGGACAAACATAATCAGTGATTAGCTGTGTCTCTTTGTCACGTTTCAGATAACTGTTAACTGAGAACTTTTTACTTGAGATTTCTTTTTAAAGCAATTTCAGTGTAAGCGATAACAAAATCCACAGTATTTTCCTAAGAAAAGCTCAGAATGAACTCTGTGAGTAATAAAAGTTACATGAGGTTTCTGAAGGAGAGACATTTGTTATTGTTAGTAGAACTGTGAAAATAAAGTACTTACACCAGAGCAAATCTCTTCTGCCTGTGATTTTCTCCACAGGAGGGAGGGGGGGCTTTGAAAAACCCTCAGAGACCAGTTTGCCCTTCCTGTAATGGTAGATGGTTGCTCCTGTGTATTTCTTATTTTCAATTGCTGCGATGAGGAAACAGAATCGGCTGTTGTTCTTCAGTGGTTTAGTAAGATCCTGGAAATATTTGGCTTTTTCTCTCATGTTGGTGATAACTTCATCTGAGTAGAACCACGACTCTTCATTGGTAGATTCTAATTTAGATGACTTTAAGTATTTGGTCATCGCATCAAGGCAGGGGTCAGCACTCTGCAGGGAGGTCAAAACAAAACACAGAGCCTCCTCTACACCAAGAACCTCTCGGTCCAGCTCTGACTGATTTGGGACGAACTTTGTTCCCTCCATCTTCTCTACACAGGACCTGATGATGTTGATTTCGCTCTCTTTAAAGTCCATCCACCTGGTTAGTTTCGCATGGCTGAACGGTGACTTGTCTCTGTCTTTAAAGACTTTTTCTAATTTCCTCTCATCTTCTTTGCCATTACGGATGGAGGGAATTTTCTTCTCCATGGTCTGTCTGAGATCAAATGCATAATGACCACACCATTTTTGGAAACTTCTGAACTTTTCATGAATTTGTGGAAAATTTCGCACCACTTTGTCCTCCAGCAAACCGTTGCATCTTTTTTCCAGCTGATTCAGGTCCTCCAGAGCATCTTCAGCCTTTCTTACAAGTCCAACACTGATCTCTCTCACCAGCACAGGAGCTTTGGGGGCTAACTTCTTCAGTGGCATCAGCCAGACCTTCAGTGGAACACTGTTCTCTCCCTTCTTTTCCAGCAGCTTTGGAAGTTGTATGTAGGTCTTCACTGCCTCTTCAAATGTTGCTGGGTTGCTTTCAAGAATGAAGTCTCCGTAGAATTTGCAGGAGAATTTCTCAGTCAGAGCTTTTTCTTCATCATTCAGCTTGATGTCAACTTTCCCGTCAACATTAAATTTGGGGATCTTATTTATCACAGTTTTCATTTTGCCCTTGAAGTTTTGAACACTTTCGTCATATAACTTCTCACTGTCAAACACAAAGACAGCGTTTGCTCCATAAAGGATGCCTGTGACTACATGTGTTGCAGAGCCCTTCTTAATACCATCTATCTGTTGGGTACTCATGGTTAAATGGTCGATCACTGTCAACTGCTTGAAGCGTGTGGTAGCTTTGTACTGACACGTCACTCTGCTCTGATTCTTGAATTTCTTCGTATCATTGAGATACTTGGCAGATCCTCCAACTGTAATCAGTCCACTCAGGAAACTGGCCTTCAGAGAAGAATCAACATCCAGCAGAGAGGCCTTGGATTCAATGGAGTCAGATGTGGACATTTTAAAGTCACTGCTTTGCTGACAGTTTTCAACTGTATTCTTTTTTAGAGTTTCATCATCCCACAATGTCAAACCTACAGAAATTGGAAAACAACATCATCTTTCATCATCTGATAAAACAGGACAAATCATTTTGTTGTCACACAAGCAGGCCCGCCATCGGGGGGGGTCAAAGGGTACAGATGACCCCGCCCCAAGGCCTAGGTGGGGGGGGGGGGGGGCATGCAAAGGTCTATGGTCAACCCTTAAATGGGATCAAGTTACATACTTTACTTACTGTCTTTGATAAATAACAAAAAATTTTAATGTGTTTATATGATAAATAAATTCAATATTATCATTAAAACATATTTTAAACTTGTCATCTGATAACCCGCTCCCCGCTGTTATTGTGAAAATGGTACGGTCGAAACATTTGGCCATTCACATGTCCAGGGCCCGCAAATGTAAAGCGAGTCGCTTTAAGCGAAAAGAGCAGCCAAAACAGAGAGAGAAGAATAAAATCATAGGGAGGCAATGGCCAAATCTCTGTCCAAACAATTGTGAACAAAAGTAATCTCCTCCCAGCTGATGCGAGTGAGTCGCGATAATAAACTGAAATATTTTTGTCTCTGTTTGGGACTGTGAGCTGCACTTTATCTGAGGTGCTGAAGTGAACATTTGTGTGGATTTGTGTTGATACTTCTGCCTGATCAAAAGTGTTTCAAGTAGGCTAAGTTTAGTTCATCCACCTCCTCCTCTCATCCAGCAGTACAGTCCCAAACGGTTCTGTGTCTGCAGACGTTCTGAAGGGGCCAAATCGGCAACATAGCAGGCTTATACACAGCAGAGTATAGGGCTGGTAGACTGTTTCATTTTGTTTATGAATACTCATAAATTATGGCATTATTCTCTTAACAGTACCACTTTTTTTCTGGACATGTCAGAGAACACAGATAGCCTATGTGGGAGAGAATGTGCAGAATGTTTTGAACATGAGCAGAAACCTGCTAAAACACACGAGCTGAAGTGCAGGAGTTGGAATTAAAATAAATTAATTTAATATCATTGAGGTGAGTAAAGGTGCCACAGTCATATTTGAAGAGGTTACTTCCCCAAACAAAGACAAAGAATAAAATATTTTAATGCACATTTAATGTGTATTCAAATATTAATATATTCATTTGTTAAGTTCTATGTGTGCAGCATGAAGGGACTACAAACTTTTGTTTCATTATACAGCAGTCTTATGTTGTATAATGATAAATAAACAACCTTGTAAAAGTTAAACTACAGGACAAAATATATCTATATCTAAAAGCAACACAGAGCCTGAGAGCTTTACTGCATCTATCTTCTGTCATATTTGGAATCATCAACTCCACCTGAATTTTGTTTCCCTTTATATGAATAAAGCTTAGTAACACCCACAAGTTCCCCTGTAACAGCCTCAAGAAAACTGACCTACAGTAAACACTAGTCAGCAGCACATCACAGGTCAGAGGATACAGCTGTAAATATGGTTACAGTATAATAAGCTACACATGTGGTAAACCTCTGTTTATATTATTATGATAATCATTTAGCTGACACAGCCTACTCACACAGTATTTCAGTTTAGTGCATAATTTGACCAATATGTTGATTAATGTAGTCCTCAAGATTGAATTTGATAGATGAAGTATGTGTAATTGTTCAGTCATAATTAAACTGTAGGATTTAATGCTTTGTAGTAATTTCTTCAATGTTTGTTTTAAGTTAAAAGGAGGAACATAACTGTCACAGTCTAATTTGAAAGATGTTTTAAAAACTATAATGACCTTTTGTGCTTTACAATCATACTAAGTAATTGAATATATATGCGAGCATGAACTGGATTGGAGTCTATAACACTGAATTTGGCAATGATTGTTAGGGACTCCATCTGTGTCACTACAAGGCTAATGGCCAAGAGCTTTTTTGAAATTGCCTGTGTTTGTATTAGAACTAAGGGTGGGTTGGTCGAGGTGGTGCTGGACTGGGTGTCGATGAGGGGCCCAGTTTGGAAAATGTTGTCCCCCTGTCCAAAATTCCTAATGGCAGGCCTGCACACAAGTAATGATGCAACAATTGCATCTTTCTGGCTGGTTCCAATTACAGATCTTGTCTGACCTGCTGATTCTGATTTTGGTTCCAATTCTCTGTCAACTATATTTGACAGCATACGCAAACATTAAGATGAAAAAAGGCCCATTCTGGTCCCCAGCCAATCAATTAGTGCATCCCTACAGAAAAAACTGATCTCTAACATAAACATAGATTTTTGCACATTGCAGCTTCTTATCCTGCTAGCAATTCCCTAAACAGCTTCTATTTTAAGCATATTTGATGCTTGATTCATTCTCTGAAATTTATTAAAGGAATTATAGGCTTGCACAACAAGCAACAATAAAACTTTCTCTATGTACCTGTAGACTTCAGATTAAAGGTGAAGGAATTATAAACCTTTCACTATAGTTAAATATTGTATTACAGTAGTATTTTAACTATCCACATTGAAGAAGTAAAATGTAGTCACACAAATTGATTCTCTCCGCTGTGGCCTCTTTTTTTACATTTGTTTAATATGTCAAGACTGTGAATGTCAAGTCTTACCTGGGATCAGTTGATCTTTCCGAGCATCATAGAGCATTCCTAGGGTGAAAGGTCGACCTAGAGCAGCAACCTCAGTGACACCAGCCATTTCTCCAACCTGTTGAGAAATGTCAAAGAAGTGACCACACAGATTTCAGTACTTCTCAAAGGGGCTATTTTTTTTATGTAATCATCAAGTAATCACTTTCTATTGCCTATTTAGGAACCCTAATTAAACCTTCTAACAAATTAACTGTCTTTCTAGTTAATTACTGATATACTACAACACACAAACTAACTAGCTACCATTAGGTTTAATATTCAGAATAAATGCTAGTATTAACGCTATCAAAGGTTAAAAAAAGAAGAAGACGAGACAGGGTAGGCTACTCCAATAATTCACTGATTTGCGATTGCACTTAACGCGTTAGCTAAAACAACTAAAATATCGTTCTCATAGTCAGCATCATCCATGAGATCTCAAAACTAAGAATGCAAAGAACTATAAAGGCTGGATGCAACCATATCTGGAACGACGCGTCAACAATGACACTTTCATAATTTTTTTAATATTGTTGAAGCCCTAGTTGTTCATATAAACCTCACTGCTTCTTATGTGAAGGAATCAGGTCGGATTTTCTGCACGGACACTCTGGATCTTCTCGCCTACTGATTCTGAACCGTACACCCAGGAACAACACGGCATCTAACGAAATGGAGTCCACTAACACCAAAAAATGACCATCACAACGCAGACTCAAACACAGACTCTATGTAAGGATGTTTTATGTGCTGAAACCCATCAGGACAAATGACAATTGGATCGATGTCGGGTAAAAACACGGGTCAACATCTGAAAATGATAAAACCCAAACCAGACTGGGCTTTCATCCTGTTGGACTGGTAAACGAACATTAATGCAAATCATGTGAAACAATGTGATTTTGTGCTTCAGTTGGCTCAAGTTTGATAATGTTAGTTTGCCGGCTAATGCCGACCAGTTGCTAACCAGTTGTCACAAACTGGCAAGGGGAATGTGACAAAGAGAGAGTCTACACAATATACTTACTTAAAACAAGTATAATTTATGAAACTAAAGAACACAAAATTAACGAGGTGTGGAAATAACACTGTAAGGATTGCATGGATGTGTGGCATATGTGCTGTATAGCAGTGCAAAAGAAGCAAACATTTTATTTTTTACTTTAACAGCCACGTATGAGCAAGAAAATGGCTTAAACTAACGTAACAGTCTGTTGTTGCAGGCAGTAAATCATTTCAGTTCTTTCCTTTGCCCCACACTGATGCAAACACATTTGCCAGTGATTATCTTAATGCACACTACTCCAGTAATGAATAAAGCTTTAAGTCAAGTACTTAAATAAAAATTGAGGTCCAGTATTTTTCAGGCATCTGGCAAATAGAGTCTGTTATTATAAATATCAAAACACATCTGTGACATGGAAATTTCACTAATTTTAAAGATATGCTACCAATATCATTATTCTAATCTGCTTGATGTGTCTCTATTTCAAGATGAAATATTACGTTTTTAATCTGTGGTGTCCGAACAATAATGTTGCGATGATGTGTTGAGAGGAAACCTGCTTGACACTGTTCTTGATCATAAAAGTTTATTACATCAAAGAGTTCAGCATCAATTACAAGCTCTGCAGCAGCTTGGAGAGTGAAAAAGCCCGATGGCCACTCTGTCTCTCTGTACATCAAACACAGCTTATATAGGATATGTTTAGGTATTAGTATTAGTACCGTATTAGTAGTACCCATACTATTTTGAGGTAACAAAACAAGGGGTTAGAGGTCAAATTATATAGAAGGGTTCAGTCCCTACTTAACCACCAATCACTACTCTCCCCGTAGAAGGTCACTGACCCTCTGTCCTGCTGCTACAGTGCTATTTTGAACTGTTATGAGTCAAATGCACAAGTCTTGGATACTACAAATCAAATACATTTTGACATTTATTTTGGATAAATATTTTTTACATTAATTGAGTAGTAAAAACAATATCTAAATAATAATCAATAAATTAGTCAGTAGATTGATCTATTTTAAAAATAATTGGGATGGTTGTAACATTTTTAACATTTCTGTCTGTATCTGGGAACTCTTTTAAACCAGAGCATTCAAAATGTGATAAAAACAGAAAATGCATAATTTAGCTTCAAACACTATGAGTAAAACATTACAATTCACCCCATAGTTAGTAACATACCCTTTGCTGCCACAGGGTGCTACTTTTTCCCATGTGGAATAAGGACTAAACTGAGCATGTGCACAGTAAATCTAGTGATTTGTAACTTGTTCCTCATTGCATGTGTTAAAACCATCCCCAGTCTCCCCTAATTCACAGCATGCCTGCAGGGTCTTAAAAAGTATTAAAAGGTAATAAATCAATATTATATAATATTTTATATAAAATTATAATTATATTTAATCCTATTATTATTATTATTATTGTTGTTATCATCATAGTCATCTTTATCATCCTCTTGGGTTAATTAAACTAGTCTAACTTGCAGACATGATCACTCAATCATGACAAAATAATAAGTCACGGGACACACACAGTTGTAAGACAATAAAATGGCTGTATGGTGTAATTTTAGAATTTTTATTTTAATCTAGCAGTAAAGTTGTATATTGCAACAAACAGAATACCCATTTATCAGTAAATGTAGCCGTCTTCTTCTCAAAAGTTGAATTAATAAAAATTAAAAAATCCTTACATTTAAACAGTGTAAACAAATACGCAGGATTCTCTATGCAGGAAAAACCCTGAATGTGTCTCGATATTAAAAAAAAGCAGCGAAACTGCCCCCCTTTTTTTTTTTTCCATTTTCACAAATACAATAAAATGTTTTGCAAACCTGGAAGTGGGTTTGAGACAACATTAAGGCTTTACCTGAAATGCCTAAACAAGAGGTGTTGGTCGCTCAGCAATGTAAAAAAAAAATTCCCTTAGCTGCAGAATCAGAAGCTGTCCTCCAGTGCAACAAATAAACTACATGATTCACATATACCATTATCACTAAAGGAGGCAGAGGAACAACTAAACATTTGGGACACAAAGGAAGAGAGAGCAGGAGAAGGAGAGGACTGTAAGAGCTTTAGCAGGACTACTGTCAGATTAAAGGTATGGCAGATAATAAACCACTGTAATAAAGAATCTAACACATTTAACCGGGTTCGTCTTAGAGGACCAAAAACAAAGCTCTACTAGTAAAGCACAAGAACGGGAAATGAGACAATAAGCTTACCGTACCCGTCAGCACCTGAACAGACAAGTTGTGCGTGAGTCTTCCTGACTTCCAGCTGGAACTGGAACTCTGATGCTCTGTGATGCTGCAAGATTTATATCCTGTCAGATTCTCTTTTCTGCTGCCTCCTCCCATGACACTCCTCCAAACTACCATTTGTAACAGCCATGAGATGAGGCCTGCAGTCAGATTATTTGTTTTTCTGTAAAGAACAGGGAAATAATGAGACAGGAAGCAGGTAGTGTCAAGGGCGTCACTTTGTGTTGAAAAGGGGTGGGGACACAATGTCTCAGATTAGGGTGTGACATTACACTTGAGATCTACGCTCTGAGATGTGATGACGCACAATATTGGGTTCTATAACAAGATGAGAAGATATTTTAACACTATTTTGAAGAAATATCCAATGTTGAAATATGTGACCCCAGAATCTTTTTTTCATCACTTTATTTCCTGCAATCTGGAGAAGTTTGTGCACCAATTGGTTTTGTTCTTCTGTCCCTCACTCCTGTCAGAATTTATTATACATGTTTATGTTTTAACTGGACTTTGACTGCATACTTCATGCACACATTCCCCTTTATAGACCCAGGCCTCAAAGGTCTCAGATGCAGAAATTTGTCACAATTAGACACAATGACAATAGTATGAATGTAAAACATTCATACAATACTGCGGCTGTTTCAGGGGAGGTGGGCAACTGCCTTGAACATTTGGAGGCGGAAACACCTGCGCAAACCGTCAGAAGGAGAAAGAAGAGGGAAGTCAGTGTTAGTAATCGAAAGTGCAGTGAGCAGAGTGCAAAGGATGCAGGAGTGACTGTAATATACAGGTACACATACATGCATGCACACAGTGCGATGAAGCACAGTGCAGTGGATGCTGGAATAAATGAGTATTACAGAAAGTATTACAGTAAAAAAACTGGCTAAACTTTCCTCAAATTACCCCATTTCCTGCCATTTTAACAAACTTATTTCACCAAGCAGTTTAGAGGTAACATCATGCTAACAGTATAGCCTTATATTGTGACTTCCTAAAGCACTAACACATTGTTTTTTCCAGACTTGTCTGTAATTGTTTAGACTCAACAATCATGACTCCTTAAACATACAAAAATCACTTTGAACTGTTTTTTATACTTAAATGTGCTCATCACTTATTCAATGGGCCTCTCACCATCACAGGATGAGTAAAATGGATGACTCTTGATGTGTGGTCACATGACCAATTATGTTTTTATGGTTGCCGAGAATCAAGGGCTGGCCCATTTTCACAGGTACAAAACTTTTTTACACATTCACACATTTGAATGTAAAAGTACAAAACATTTTCACAAGTACAAAACTTTTTCACACAGCTAAAATACATTTGGGAGTAGCAGCGTGTCAAACATGTGTTGACCAACATGTCAAATCATTTTACATGCTTCTTCAATTTCAGAAATATGGCCAAACTCAGATCTGTTGTATCACAACCTGAGCTAGGGATGATCATTATGCATTTGAAGTGAAGGCTCCGACACTGTGAACGTTCTTCCTTCAGACGTACATTCAGTGGTATCTTTAAAAAGCAGCTGAAGACTCTTTTGGCCTTTGCCTCGTGCTGTCTAATGTGTGTAATCTTGTGTGTTTTTAAGACCTGTTATCGCTCAAGTGTTCTTGTTCTGTTTACTGTGACCTTGCTTTGTAAAAGGTGCTATCGTAAATAAACTTAATTTACAACAGTCCTTTCAACCTGAATCAATGAGAAGTGTCATCTGTACAAATGTAAAGTGACTTACACGCACATTGGTCTGCATACTGCACAATTGTGTGTCACAAGACTG